TATTTAGGAAAAACTACAGGAGTTAGGAAAGATTTCATTATAACATTTTCCCCAATTCAAATCCACAATGGTTCATTAAACAGCCCAGAAGACTGTCCCAGGTACTGTGCTAGACCCATGAGATTTAGAAAGAAAAAGATATGGTCCTGCCCTCATGGGTTGGCTCACATTCTCACAGTCATGGGCAGCCTCAGTTTCACCCTAAAGGTGAGGGAGAACTACCAAAGGAACATGGGGTGGTTGATTTGTGCTTTAGATGCATGTAGAGAAAGGACTTAGCAAAGTCTCAATTAGAATTGAGTACTGTTGCATAGAACAGGGGCTTAAGCCAATAGGGGGTTTTCTGACATAAGCAGAAGTCTGGAGGTGAGCAGTTATTCACTGGCTCAGGCACTCATCTCCTTTCTCTTTTTGCTTTGCCATGCTTTCGTCCTCACAGTTGTCACCTCCTGGTCAGGAGGTGCCTGTCTGAACTTAAACTATCACATCCACGTTTAAGGCAGCAAGGATGGCGAAAAAATGAAACTATTCCCTTTAATCCCTAATGTAAAAGGCCTCCCAGAGACCGCTGGTGGTTAGGTGAAGACTATGCTAGATGGCTACCTGTAGCTGCAAGAGATGCTGAGAAAGCAGTCATCTTCTTACTTCTCGAGTAGATTTCTGTCAGGGAGAAGGAGGTAATAAAGAAGGAGTGGATATTGTTTCCATTAATTGAAATTCTTAGTGCATGTAGTTCTCCTGGATGTGGGTGTGAGGTGTCATCCCAAGGAGATATTCAGGGAGTTGGAAATAAATTAAAAACTCAAGTGAAGGCTTAGGGCTTGGGATATATTTGGAGGTCATTAGAATGTAGGTGGGGTGTAGGAGGATGCCCTACATTCTCACAATTTCTGAGGAGTGAATGGCTTTTCATCCTCCTAACATAATTTCACTTTAGCCCAAGTTTGCGGAGACGGGCTAATTTTTCTACATGCTCACACACCCGCCCTGGAATTTAAAGGATAATAAAGTTATGCAAAGAATCACTGTGTGCAACAAAAAGCAGAACCTTTTCTGCCAAACCTACCTCCAGTACAAACATGTATACACACCAGTCAGTGCTATACATAGAACTGGCTCTTGAATACCCACATCTATTTGCCACACTGTGGAGCAAATGTGTTTTCATTCTCTTGATTAAAATAACAAGTACTATCATACTGGAAGGCTTGGTATTTGTAACAGAAATATAACCACACAAAAAATACAACTGTGGAGGATCTTGCTGAGGTCTACTGGCAAGGTGTCTGGTACTGTCTGGGATAAAAATCCTGCAACTAAAATAATCTTACCTCTCAAGCAATGCTCAGATCCACTGTGAAGACTATTGAAGTCCTCTCTTACCTTTGGCCTGAAAGGGGCCTCTGCCTTTTTAGCCAGGCAGGCCGGTCACGGAAATTCTACTCTGGAACTGTGGATACAAGAGAAGCATTTCTTCAGTATTTACTCTGACCGGTGAAATAGCTATGACAAATTTTTTCTTTCCCCAGAGACACAAGGTGACATTTTAAAGGAGAAACCACTCTTCTGGTGCCATAGAGTCTTTTAAAAATATTAGAATAAGGGCTCAAAGGAATGTCTGCTCAAGCACAGCGGTCCAAAGCCTCACATTTCAAGGAGAATTCAGCCACTTTATGCCAACAGGGATCCATTCCAGCCTCTTCCCTGTTGGATCTACTTTGTACTCAGCATCAGATTCAAAACTAGTAACATCTTCTTGGTTCAAGGGCCCCCTTTTTCCTGCTTAGCTAAATCCGTGCTATATTGTAACATTGCTCCGTGCCCCAATCATGAGCTCCTTAAGGTTAGGGGTCACATCTTGTACTCGGTTATTTCTTGCAGAGTTATGTCTGTCATGGTGAACCTGCAGGAAATAGTTGTTAAATGAATGAATGAAAGAATGGAGAGCAATGGTAGGTGAGCTGCTAGGCAGCCTGGGAAAGAGGATTAGAAAACTCAGGTCAGGTTAGCAGGAAAGGTGGGGGAGGGGAAAGAATGTTTTATTGAGCCAGCAGACAGAAATCCTAGCCCCAGGTTGGCTTGTTTGCCTTTACTCATTCAACAAACATTTCTTTAAGCTTCTTCCAGTGAGCTAGGCAGGCCTTGCCACAGACATGAATAAGACAAAGCCCCCGCCCTCAAAGTGCAGTGGGGGTGGTGAGGGGCACATGTGACGATCAGGGGTGATAGAGATTTGTGTGATGGAGACACGATGATGGGACACATGGAACAAGGAGAAGAGGCTTATAAGTCAGATTGTGGTTTCCTGAAAAGCTTCATGAAGGAGAAAGGTTTTGATTCAAGAATTACGATGAGTGTTGACTCGATGAGAGAGATGGATTAGGTAAAGCATCATAGGTATAGGGACTAGCATGTGAGATGTTCCAAACCATAAAAATAGGAGATTGCAATTGAGAGCTAAAGTCTCAACTGAAAGATTGGCTAGAGCTAGAGCTACCTTTCAAAGGGCTTTCTTGCAAGATGATTTAGTGCTTTTAAGAGCAGAGGTTTAGAAATCAGACAGATCTGAGTTCAAATCTCAGCTCTGGTAGTTACCAGCCATGTAACCATAACTGGTGTGTGTGTGTGTGTGTGTGTGTGTGTGTGTGTGTGTGTGTGTGTGTGTGTGTGTTTACCCCTCTAATTCTTAGTTACTTTAGCATAGGGTCTAGCTGTATCACATATATTGCTGCCTAACAAATTATCCCAAACCATAACAGCTTGAAACAACATGCAATTATTAAATCCTCAGTCTCTGTGGGTCTGGAATCTGGGCCCTGCTTATCAGGGTCCTCTGCTTCAGGGTCTCACAAGGCTGCAATCAAAGCGTCAGCCAGAGCTAAGGTGTCATCTCAAGACATAACCCGGAAGGATCACTCCCAAGCTCACTTACATGTTTGCTGGAAGAATCCAGTGCCTTGCTGGCTGTTGGCCAGAGGCTGCCTCAGTTCCTTGCCATGTTGGCCTTCCATCATAACAGCTTCCTTCATCAAAGCCAGTGAAAGAGATATGCTATCAAGACAGATGTAGCCTAATCGTTAAAGTGACTTCTCATCACGATTACCACATTATGTGAGTTAGAAGTCAGTAGGCCGGCCCACACTCCAGAGAAGGGGCTTATACAAGGCAATAATCACCAGGAAATGGGAGGGGGGTCATTGAAGGCCATTTTGAGGTCTGTCTGCCTGACCCACTAAATAAATAGCTTCTTACCACTAAATAAATGTTAGCTATTATTATTATTATACTAGAGGCCAGGTGCACGAAATTCATGCACAGGTAGCGTCCCTAGGCCTGGCCGGCGATCAGGACTGATTGGGGCCTTCCGGCTGCAGGCCAGGGCCTCCCTTCCCTGGCTGCCAACTGCTGGCTGGGGCCTTCCTTTGTTTCACACTACCCCATGGTGGTCAGTGCACATCATAGCAAGTGATCGAACTCCTGAGGGGACACTTTGCATATTCAATTGAGAGTTGGAAAAGCTAGAAAGCCTGTGAAGGACTTCATATGAAGGAGTAACTTTAGGTGACCATGGGCAAGTAAAGTCACCTCATGTCATTGAGCCTTCATTTCCTGAATACATTGGAAAATGCCTAGCCCCAAAGAAATGAGAACACATCTATGCAAGCACAAATGCATGTTGTAACACCAAATATACAACTCTACACAGTCTGTGGAAGCAAACTGCTTTGGGCCAATTTTCCATTTTGTGTGGATTCTGTGAACCTCACAGTCTGATATCCTCAACGATGTTAGGGCTTGGCTCTGTGGGCCCAAGAGGATTTGTACAACTGGAATAAACATTCACAAGAAAAAAAAATCTAGCTATTGAGCGTCCCTTAAGCAATTCCAATGGTTTGCCTTTTACTTCTTTTTACCTTCTTTTTGCTTCCAAGAACCCCTTGGGGGACTGGAGGGAGAAAACAGACTAGCTGGGAAATTTCAAGGTCTTGTTAATAAAAATGGTAATAAAATCTTGTCCGGCTCCTGATGCTTCACAGAGGGAATGTTTATGGTGGATGGGGTTCCTCCACACCCTCGCAGCTGGTTTGTGCGGGTTTCCAGTCCTAGGGTTCCACCTCTGTGTGCGAGGGCGAGGGCAGCTCCGACACCCACACCCTTAAACAGCGGGTGAGACACCCAGGGTCCCACGCCCCTCTGTTTGATGCCCAAACGGGACGCCTCATCCCACGCCCCAAACGGAACCGATCACACACTGTCGTTTTTCATGTTCTTCCCGGGTGCGGTTTTCCCCGGGGAAGGTAAACAGTTTCATGACCTGGACGGAACTTAGGAGTCAGCCCCTCTGACTTCGTACAAAGACGCGCTTCTCAACTGGACTTCTCTGGGTGGCGAGAAGCGGTCAAAGAGGGTGCGACTGCGACAAGTTCCCTTTGCTTCTCGGCCCTAGGGGTTGGCCTCGAGGACAAGGGGCCCCTGGGTCCCCGGCACACACCCTGGCGCTGCCAGCCAGGTAGGGGGCACGCGCCCCGCGGGGTTCCCCCTTGGCGCTGAGGTCACCTCCTACAGCGCAGCTGCCTCCAGTCCTAGCGGGCCCTTGGGTCCCCGGGGGCGGGGCTCGCGGGGACCGGACGGGAGGGAGGGGGTGCCCCGGGAGATCTCGGGGAGCGGAGGCGGAGAAGCAGGGGCAGCTCCGGGCAGCGCCGGCCGGGGGCTTTCACCTCGCCTGGGGTAAAAGCGGGGCCGCTTCCGCAACCCCTGCCTTCGCAAACTTTTAACGAGAACCAGATGTGGCGGCTGCTGTCGAATTTTCTTCAGAACCCGGTAAATGATTCCCCGTGTAGGGGCCCCAGCCAATCAAACGTTCTGAGAGGGGCGGGTAGGCCCGCTCCCCCGAAGCCCGCGGGGGACCCATGATTGGAGGCGGGGCGGGCGCCGCCAGTGGGACTCGCCGGCCCGGGGCGGGGACCGTGCGGGCGGGGCAGCCCCAGGCCGAGCGAAACATGCGGGGGGGACCGGAACGACCCGGGGCTGCGGGGCGCTTCTTGGCGCTGCTGGCACCTCCACCGCCGACGCCGCCGCTGCTGCTGCTGCTGCTGCTGTCCCTGGGCCGCGGCGCTGGACCCCAGCGGGCTCTTCCCCTACGGGCAGTTTAGGGGGGACCAGCTCCTGAAGGAAGGCGACGACGAGAGCTCAGCCGCGGTGAAGCTGGCGAGTCCCCTGCGCTTCTACGAAGCTCAGTTCAGCTACCTCTACGTAAGTTCGGCCCCCTCTGGGTGCGGGGCCCGGCAGGTTTCCCGCAGCGCCTCCCCAGGGGTCCGTGCAGTGCGGGTCTCACCGAACCCTGACTTCCGAGGGGAGGGAATAGCGCGCACGCTGTGCTGTCCCCGAGCGCCCCTGGGGTGGGACCAGGCTTTGCAGCGATGCTGCTGCGGGACCCGCGGCGTTCCTTGCCTCCAGTGAGAGAGCTAGACCTGTTCGCGGCATCTGGAGCGTCCGGGCAGAGAAGAAGGTAGCGTTGCTGGGGCAGCCAGTGGGGCTGCCAGTGAGGCGAGAAGGCTGCGCCCGTCTGCAGAGCTGGGGTGCTCCCGCCACGAGCTTGGAGGTTTTCTCCAGGGTTGTGCGCCAAGGAAGGAAATATGCGAACAAGTTTTAGGGCTCCCGGACCTATTGCGTCGGGTGGTAGGGTAGGAGTGGGCGGCTGGGACACAGGCCGGAGTTGCTCTGAACCAGGAGTTGGCTTCCCAGGCTTTGGGGAAGGGGGAGCGTCATGCCTGGGGCGGTTCCCTTCCCTCCTTGAGGAGCCGGGTGGGCGTGCATGTCTGGACCTGTGGTGGCCGCCCTCGGGCTCCTTGCAGATCAAGCGACCGCCACCTTTTGTCCCCCTCCTCTCCCAGGTCGGCACCAACGGCATCATCTCCACCCAAGACTTCCCCAGGGAGACCCAGTATGTGGACGATGGTTTCCCCACGGACTTCCCGGCCATTGCTCCCTTTCTGGCCGACATCGACACGAGCCAGGGCAGAGGCAGGATCCTGTACCGCGAGGACTCGAGTCCCGAGGTGCTGGACCTGGCCGCCCGCTACGTGCGCACCAGCTTCCCGCGCACCGCCTCGGATTTCACCCCCACCCACGCCTTCCTGGCCACCTGGGAGCAGGTGGGCGCCTACCAGGAGCCCAGGCTCGGGATGCCGCCCTCCGGAGAGGTAAGTGACAAGGGGTGCTTGGCTGCTGAGCCTGTGGAGGGATGGGCTTGAATCTGGGCTGGAACCCAGGGAGCGACTTGGAGTCTTTTCTGAGTCTGGTCTTGAGCTGAACCTGACGTATCCTTTGGTGGCACCAGGCTGAAGTGGCCTGGATGTGAAGTCGTCAGGCTTCCACTGAGGATCTGAGAGGTGGTCCCTTCTAGCAGGAGAACGTGCTTAGAGGAAGAGAGGGCCCCAGTGCAGATGCTGAAGGCCCTCAGAGCACAAGGCAGTTGACTGTTTGGTTGTTTATTTTAAGAATCACCTCTAAGTATACAAGAATTATTTCTAATTATATGTTCATTGAAAGAAAAACATAAGCAAATACAGGCAGTTTTAAAAAGAACAGCCTCTCATTTTCCTACCACTCAAAGATAACCACTGTTAAACATTTTTCCTGTTTATTCCAGAAGTTTTTTCCCCCCTCTATCAATATCTATATTTATCTGTCATTTTCTATTAACAATGATGGGTTCACAGTGCACATACTGTTCTGTAGCCTACTTTCCCCTCACTAAATAGTATATTGTGAATATGTTTCAGTGTCAGTAAATCTATTTCTACAACGTTATTTATAAAGTCTGCATTATATTCCACCCACTGGATTTACCACAGTGGTCATTAAGGTTATTTCCAATTTTTTATCATTATACCTAATTTTGTGAAGCACTTTTTTAAAGCTAAATCTTTGCGCATGTCTTCAGTTGACATTTTAGGGTTTGGAATTGGTGGGCCAGGGGGATGAACTTTTTATAAGGTTATTGATAGCTTTTGCCAACTTGCCCTCCAGGTTTCCATGCCCCCTCATTTCCAGGAGACTGTCCTCAATTTGTTTTATAGTCTCTACCTGAGGAGCAACCCAAGCTCCCCGCCTTTAGGCTTGGCAGCAACCAAATGGACATCAGGTGGGGTCAGGGCGGCTTGGCAAATGGTAAACTGCCTCATTCCTGGAGTAGGTAGGGACTTCCTCCATTGAAATTAGACTTGAATCAAAAGTGTTATACTCCAAGGGCTGAAACGCTTACAATTTATCTCTATTTTAACTCATCAAAGTGGTTCGTAGCTACAGAAAGATGCTACATCTCTTCCCTGAGAGACTAAGTAGCTTGCCCACTCTCCCTGAGTATTTCAAGATGGTGGCCATTTTTATGTGTTCTGTAAGAGAAGTATTTGCTATAAGACTGTACTAAGCAAAAAAGATTTAGAAATAAAAGTTGTTCAAATTTATGATTTTTTGGCCACTCATTTTTTTGGGTCAGGCAACATCTAGTTTTGTTTATTGAATACTTTGTAAACAATACATGGTTTGACATTTTAATTATTCAATTCAACAGAATATATTGAATTTAAACAGATATATTGAGCACCTCTTTTGTGTAGGGCATTGGGCTAGGTAAAGAGTTGGAGAAAGTTGAGTAAGGTATGGCCCCCACCATCATGTTGCATTCATTCATTCATTCATTCATTTTTGTTTATAAGTTTAAAAAACATTTAAAATTAAGTATAGCATACTTACAATAAAACATTTAGAAAATAAAATAAACATTAGTTATAATTTCACTAACCAGAGGTCACCACTGCTAATAGTTTATTTTCTTCCAGTCTTTTATTGTAAACATATATCTTATATGTGCCATATTCATATGTGTGTGTAAGTAATTTACATTTAAGCATAGTTGAGATTTATTCATCCAACAAACCTTTTTTGCATACTTACTGTATATCAGGACTGACATAGCCATCATGAAAGGACATACTCTTTACTCCCAAGGATCTCATAATTTAGTAGGAACATTCATGATTATTCAATATGATAAGTGTAGTAGCATTTTTACTTATGGAGAATAACACTACCCCTCTCTGGTTAGGAGACACTATCAGGGAAGGTTTCAATGAAGAAGTAGCTTTGAGTCTGAGTTGAGCAGAGTAGAACATTCCCAAAAGGATAGTCTATGACATATCAGCCATGTGCTGTAGAGTAGAATGTGTTTGGGGCATTATGTGTGGTATATGACCACTGAAGAGGAGGGTGGTGGGACAGGAGGCCGGAAAGGCCATGAGGTGGGAATTAGCAGATAATGTACTGAGAGCTTGGACTTGGTTCTTTGGCGATAGGCAACCTTTGAGGGATTTAAAGCAGGGGATTGATAGTTTTTGTTAAGAGAACTCTTTTTGATTGTATTGAAAAGGTGAGGGCACAAAGGAAAGATTGACTACTTATAGAGGTTGTTTGTATAAGTTATCTAGTTCATTCTGATAACAATATTTTTATCATACTGTCTTCCCACAACAATCCTACAAGATAAGTACCACATGACTTATCATTTGCATTTCACAGATAATGGCAAATAAAAGTTAAAGCTATTGTCCAGGCTTGTGCTCTTAGTGAGGCAAAGGTAGGTTTAGAATACAGATTTATTGGTTCTTAGGGGTTTTTTTTGTTGCTTTTACCCAGACTTTTTTTTTCCACGCAAGACCCATTTCGTTGGCACAAGTGATGAAGGTAGACACAATAGTTGTGCCTTTTCCTAAGACTCCCAATAAATAAGGCTGGAGCTTTATTGTCTTGATGTGATCTTAGTACCAGGAGAGTCCTAGGAACCATAATGCGTTCAAAGGAAAATTGAGCTTGGAATGAAATGTGCTACGATGGACACTGTTGATGCAAATTAGTATCCCAACACTCTGGAGAGATTCAGCTGTATCTGCCTTACTTTTCAACACGGAATAGAAAGACTAACTTGAATGAGATGAATAGGGGGGAGGAAATCACGCTACAGCTTTAAGTTCCAATTTTGTCAGGGCTTATTTGAAATCAAAAATTAAAATACAGATAGCATGACTTTGTTAACTATTTTTCTCAATTTCATCTGTAGTGTGGGAGTAATGCTTCTCTTCCCCATCTTTCCGGGTGATGTAAAGACAATGACAATCAAGTTAAAACCATTTTGAAGGAAAAAGTGATTATGAAATGTTATCCAGTGATTTCAGAAACAATGACTCAGTCTTAGCCTTAGTTTTCTAAGCTGTGAAATGGAGTAGCAATGCCTGCCTTACAGGATTGTTGTGAGAATGAGCTAAAGTGACATTTTTATGTAGCCACTGCCAGCCCTTAGACCAGCGGTTCTAAGGGTCGCGACCCCTTTGGCAGTCGAACGACCCTTTCACAGGGGTCGCCTAAGACCATCCTGCATATCAGATATTTACATTACAATTCACAACAGTAGCAACATTACAGTTATGAAGTAGCAATGAAAATAATTTTATGGTTGGGTCACAACATGAGGAACTGTATTTAAAGGGCCAGAAGGTTGAGAACCACTGCCTTAGACCCATCTGGTGTGGGTGCTCACCCAATCTGTGTTCCCCTTCATTGGCTTGATGGGACCAGGTTCTGGTTCTTTTATTTCTCGATCTTGCAAGGATGCTATGATGCAAGTCCTTTACATAAGGACTCTTTAAATACAAGGTTTTCCAAATTGCAGTTTCCATCCAGGCTTTTTTTGGGGTGGGGAGTGCAGGAAGATTTGTAGATTCCATCTCTCTTTCACTTTTCTAATTAAAATCCATCTTTGGACATTGCCATATGCTGAGTTGGCTTCAGAGTTTGTTTCATTTAGAAAGGAGATAAAGATTCTGTTTAGAGAAAGAATGTTTTTTCAATTACCCGTGTTGAAGGTTGTTCTGAATACTTTAAAGAGCTCTGTGACTTGAGTTCTTGTTTTAATAGTTCTTTGGAGGTAGATTTTGGCAAATTGTCTACTTTGCTTGAAGGATTTCTACATGGCTTTCTTAAACCTTGGCATATTAACCTTATGTTGCAAAGTTACCTGAAATTTGAAGATATCAGAGGAATGGCGTCTTTACTACTTAAACAACGTCAGTTGTTGCCCTTTCTCTCCATGGATATTCAAGGTGGGTGTGACAGGATGTTGTAGCTGATACTGCAGGGATATCAAGATGTAGCTGCATCTAAAAATAGGAACAAATAGTGTTTATCAACTCAGTTCATCTGAGATTCCTTGAGCTGTCATAGGTACTTCACGGAGCAAAGAAGTCACGGTATTGACATCAAAGAACTCATTGACGGAAAGAGAGCTAGTGTTTATTTTAGCTGCATTTTTTGGGAAGGGGAGTATTGCTTTGCTGTTGTTGGAGGGACGGGGGTTACACAGATCTGTGTGGGACAGGGAATGTTTTGTTGATCTGGATTTTAAGTTGGGCTGAAAGAATGGGTCTTGAGAACGAGGCAGCAGGAGAGATAGTCCTGAGCTAGGGTGTGTGGGAGAAGGCTGGAGAGCTGAGGCTGGAAAAATGGGTGAAGGAGTCATGGGGCAGTCACATAAGATGAGCAGAAAGGTGCCCATTGGAGGCCCCTGTGGGGCCTGAGGTATTTTGACTTGTTTCAAAGGCTGATGGCCATCGATGGAGGGCATTGGATCCACAGAGAAAATTCGAGGTAAAAGCAGGACATTGTTGCCGCTTTTTGACCTCTGGAGCTGACGTCCAGAGGAGGGGAGGTTTGCAGTCGATCTGAAAAGAGTTTAACCTGAGGCTGAGGCATAGCGGTGAGGACATACAGAATGAGACAGATAAGGAAATTGATGAAAGAAATGCTGACGTCCTGCTGAAGACTAAAGGTCAGGAAGGGATATGATAGCACTGAGCACTTACGTTTGATTTGGGGCAGGCTCTGTAGGATTTAGGCAGAAAATGAATGAGGGAAAATCATGTGTGTGACAGTATCGTACAGGTAGTGGGCGATGGAGGATTATGCCAAGGCATGGCATTTAGTGTTGACCCCAAACTCTGGAGGCCAGACGTCAGAGATGCTGCACTGTGGAAAGCATGCGACCCTAAGGAAGAGAGAAAACTACGACCCCTTTAGGAGGCACCCTCTAGTGACTAATTTTCATGGTTATTTTTGTAAGCCACTATAGGCCAGGCCCTTTGGGGTCAGGTTGGCACTACCCTGATTTTTTGCCAGATGACAAATTAGTTAAATGCATTAGATGGGTATGTTTGATATCCATCAGCTTGGCTCTGCGAGGGTCCAGGCAATATTGACGGGTGATATCCTATACCTGCAGAGGACAGCCAGACTCCTGCCTGCTTTCTGCCGAGGGCTCTGGCTTTTCTCTCGTTCTGATAACAGGATGACAGAAACCTTGCAGCTCCGCAGCCACTGGCCCTGATCCTGTCTGTGCTGCTCCTCTGCCTGGGAAGGCCCCTCTCTCCTCTCTGGGATCCTGGGGGAGTTGGGAACCTGTGACCCTTTTGTGGGGTTGGGCAGCCCATCTGAGGGTTTCCCTTCAGAGACAGAGCGTGTGGGGTTCTTGCAAAGGCTTGTCTCTAGGAATGTGAAGACCTTTCCGGTCTGGAAGCCAGTCAGCGAGTGCCTTGGGAGGAGGAGCAGCCCTCAGGACTTGTGAAGGCCACTCTTTAGCAATAAGATGTAGAATTTTCTGGAACCGGGTGAGAACTTAAAAAGTGATCATTTGGTGTGTGGGTGGATTTTAAGTAGTCAAACTTTTGGCGCGTACTTTGGGACCCTAAATTCTATTTTAAAATTCTTCTTTTATTTGCCTCCGTGGAGACACATAGATTAAATGCTTGAGATCTGTAATTAGTGCTTGTCTCAGGGATGGCGTGTAAAAGACATTGAGTAAATGTTCCTTGAAATGAATTTGTTGACTGGCTGACTGAAAGAATGAATAAAGTGCTAAATGCCCAGACCCCACAGTAAAAAGTCAGACCCTCCTCTTCCCAGCTCTGTGTCCTTTCCTCCCCTCTCCCTCCCCCTCCCCCCTTCAATTCCTTCACAATCTGTAGACCCTCCTTATCTCTTAGAATGTCTCTAAACTTAGAACCAGGATTTCTTCCTATCTCAGGTTTATAGTGGGCAATCAATGCCAGGAGCTTTGAAGGCTTAGCTTTTGGAAACAGGTTCTTTCTCCTTCCTGGAGTACTTTTCTTTCCCTAGTTGAGCTTTATTTATTCTCACTATAGTAAAACTCGAAAGTTCCTGGATCCACATTAATTGATGACGTAGTATATATATTACATGATGTATAGACATGATGCAGAAGCTCTGGCTTCCCAGCTTTGAGAAATTCTAGGAAACATCTCTTGCCTTTTGTTTTTGGAAAACTCAAGTTTTGCTGATGAAATAATCAACAACTACAATAGCAAATATACCAGCCCCCCTCCCCTTAACTCTTTTTTAAAAATATATATTTTTATTGATTTTAGAGAGGAAGAGAGAGGGAGAGAGAGATAGAAACATCAGTGAGAGAAGAGTCATTGATTGGCTGCCTCCTGCATGTCCCACACTAGGGGTCGAGCCCGAAACCCAGGCGTGTGGCCTGACCAGGAATCATACCATGACCTTCTGGTTCATAGGTCGATGCTCAAGCACTGAGCCAAGCCAGCTGGGCTCCCCTTAACTCTTTAAGTGTGTGACCTTCAAGAAAGAAAAGAGCGAAGCCAAGCAAGGTGACCTTTTCAATGTCAGAGAACTGAAAGCAAGGTTGTGCGTCAATTTGTTTTCTCTTAAAAAGCATTTAAAGACCTGTGTGTCTTTGTCCTATAAGCAAAACCTCAAAACTAAACTTCGAAATTAAACAATGGAAGGAAGAATTAACATTAGGAGAGAGCACCATACCGGACAGAACCAAAGGCAGGGCACATTCCTCTTGTTTGCTGTTTTATTTAGCAAACTGTGATGCCCTTCTCTGTGCCTAATTTTGATGGAGTTAGTAAGTTGGGGGAAATAACACTACCGACTAGTAAATAATGTTTTTAAGAGTCACATTATTTAGGAAGCAGTGGTATTTATAAATACCTCTCCAGTTCCCTACTAAATTATAAAAGGAGTGGGATTTAGTGAGAGAGGTTTTCTCAGAGGCCTAAATATTACATATTTTTTAGATAATCAAACACCATTAACAGGTCATTTTGGCGAGATCAGGGGACATAGCTGCATGTGGATAAAGGCAAAAAATGTCTTATTGAAAATATGAGAGCAAATTTTAAGGAGTAATTCTATAAGGACCTGGGTGTTGAGTTTGTGGCTAATTCAGCTCTGGCCTCTCTGGTCTGCTCTGGCTCCTGCTGTGTTTATTAACGTTCCTGGGCCTCCTCTGCTTTGCCTCCCTATCCTCTACAACCTCCTCTGTAGCCTCTGCTTCCTCTTTCAATAACTCTCCTAGAATCTTGGCCATGGCTGTCTCCCTCTGGTAAGATGTAAGACCGTCCTGGACAGTCCCGGTCCCCTGCTCCTTTGCTTCTTCAGTACCAAGCATAATGCCGGGTGCTCATAGGCACTTGGCTGTTAGAATTATACTGTACAAATGAGTTAATAGATGGGGTTTGCAAACACATAAATAACTAACCAGGCAAAATGAGGTGACTGCAAGCTAGAAACACTCCCAAAGGTGTCACGGAGGGTCAGAGGACAGAAATCGATCTACACGGAATCACAGCACACCCCAAGGGGCAGCACCAGAGGGTTAGGAGGTTTTCAGTCTCAGGGAAATGTGAGTGCACATACAGGGGCATCAGAGTACACGGGACAGATGGGGAATGTTAAATAGTCTGACGGAGATACAGCAGATCTGAACCCGGAGGGAGTTCACGGCAGGGTGCACGTCACCTGGAATGGCATGCTGAGGAGCAGCTAGGGTGGCCTAGTCATATAGGACCTGGACTCTGAGCTGGCCGGCCTGCCACCATGCGCCAGCTACCTGACCTTAGGCAGATTCATTAGCCTCTATGTCTCTCTTTCCTCTTCTATTCCTCTGGTGGGGTGTGGAGAAATGGATGGAAGAGAAAAGAGAGTGAGGCAATAGTAAGGAGGTCTTTTGATCAGCCAGTGCCTAACACCGTGTCTCCCCACAATGGGCATTCAATAAATAGGTGAATGAATGAATGATCCAGATGAGTGCCCAGGGCAGGAAACTAGGGCAGTGGGAATGAACAAGGTAAGTTTGCTGCTTGCTCTCAGCTCTGAAAGAGGTTTGAAATTGAGCATTTATACCTTAAAAGGTATTATGTTTTTAACCAGTTTTTTTACCTATACATATTTCAACTATTAATCTGAATTGACAAAATGTGATTATATATGACATAGCTTATAAAATTATATTGTCACTTGAAGAGGAAATTTAAAAGAATAGTACGTATAAAAACATTTTGGAGAAATCCTAATGAGGGGGGAAAACCCTTTGTACTTTATGATGCTTTGCTTGCATTGTCTTTTTGTTTGTTTGTTTTATTAAGAATATTTCCTTTTTTTTCCCCACAGCTGAATACTTTCCAGGTAGTTTTGGCATACGATGAGTCCGATACCTACGCCTTCTTTCTCTATCCTGTCAATGGCCTTCATTTCTTTGGAACGCGCCCCAAAGAGTCCTACAATGTCCAGCTCGAGCTTCCAGCCCGGGTGGGCTTCTGCCGAGGGGAGATCGATGACCTGAAGAGAGAAGGACCGTATTTTAGCTTGACTAGCACTGAACAATCTGTGAAAAATCTCTACCAGTAAGTGCCCGAGGGCTTAAGCCCTTTCCTGTTGGAATGGAAGGACCCTTTGGAGCTCCTCAAACCCAGGTGGTCATAAGACCATTAAATAATATCTTGGTGGTTTCTGAGTAAGGCATCTAGACTAGACCCTGGGAGGAGCAAGGCCACCAAATATAAAAGGTCCTTTATTTTTCTTGCCCTGTTGACTAAAGATACCTGAAACAGAACTTGTGTGTGTGTATGTGTGCGTGTGTGTGTGTGTGTGTGTGTGTGTGTGTGTGTGTGTTTGCAGAGCCACTGAGGTTTGCTATGGAAAACATTGCTCTTGGAACCACATAAAAATACCCAGTAATATAACTGCCCAGATTGAAGTTTTTCCAGGTTAATTATTTCACAGAAGGAGATGCTGTGATTTTAGTCTTTTAGACAGATAACGTGTTGAAAGTTAAGTAAGAGTAAAGTAATTTGGGAAACAAGTAAACAAATAGACGGATAGGTCTTTAGCAGTGTCATGGTTTCGCTATGGCTTTATTATCTGAAATCACAGCGATTGGTTTTCCATGGAGCAGCCAGGGCTGAGCACGTCCCTCAGTCCCATCGGCGGTTTACTCTGCTCATGCAATCCAAGCCCGTTCAGTTCTCGTCAGTCCACATCACGCCAGTATAGGGGCAGCACCTCTTGATAGCTATGAATTTTAAAAATATACTTGCTTTTATTCCTTTCCTGAATATGGATGCTGAAGCCAGACAGAACACCTTGGCTGCGTAGCCTCCCTTCCTGCCTCTCGGTTTCACTAGAGTATTCCCGGGTATTGAAACACTTTGCACATTTGCATGCCGTCTGCTCTGCTCAGCTACCGAGGACCGGCCCTGTAGCCAAATATGGTTACTCGAACTAACATTTATTTTATTTTTTATTTTATTTTTAATCTTTTTTTGTTTTTTGTTTTATTGCTTAAAGTATTACAAAGAGTATTACATATGTCTCCTTTTTTTTTTCTCCCCTTGACCTTCCCCTGGCCTCCCCTACCCCCCAGTGTCTTGTGTCCATTGGTTATGTTTATATACATGCATACAAGTCCTTTGGTTGACCTCTTACCCCGCCCCCAACCCTCCCCGGCCTTCCCGCTGTAGTTTGACAGTCTGTTCGATGTTGCTCTGCCTCTGTATCTATTTTTGTTCATCAGTTTATAATGGTCTTAATTATCCATAAATGAGTGAGATCATGTGACATTTTTCTTTCATTGACTGGCTTATTTCAATGGAATACAATGCTGCTATAAAAAAGAAGGAATTCTTACCACTTGCAACAGCATGGATGGTACTGGAGAGCATTATGCTAAGGAAATGAGCTAACATTTATTGAGAGCTTAACCACTCACCAAACATTGTGCTAAACAGTTTCTAGAGGCTGTCTTAATTAAAACTCACAAGAATCCTAGGAGGTAAGTTAGATTCTTGTCTCAACTTGACAAATGAGCTTAGGGAAGTTAAGTTGCCTATAATCCCAGTTATTAAGTGGCAACGCCAAAATTCAAGCACAAGACTGGGGCTCTGAGCCACTTATTTTGTGCTGAATCCTGGTTTTCTTTTCCATTCTCGTGCATCTGTAGGTCTCCATCTAGGTTGCCTTTTAGTCTAGGCCTCTGGTGGAGAAAACTTCGCTCCTTCCTTTTGCTCCCTGGGTTCCACCTGACTCTCCCACCCTGGAGGCCAGAGTCTCTGCTCCTCAGATATTATGGAGAGCTCACAGGGGGCCAAGCGCTTGAAAGACAAAGGTGTCTAAGGCACAGGCCCTGCACTAGCAACTTGCCCTGTAGCAGGGTTGACAGACAAATAGATCAACAATTCCCAGCACAGGGCGCAGGAGGTGGTAGGAGCCAAAGAGCCTGTCAGAAAAGCAGTTGTGCTCCCCCACTACAATCATAAAGGCCCCTAAGACTACATACACAGCCCTGACCGGGTTGCTGAGTTGGTTGGAGCATCGTCCCATACACCAAAAGTTGGCAGGTTCAATTCCCAGTCAGGGCATGTACCCAGATTGTGAGTTCAATTCCTAGTTGAGGCACATGTGGGAGACAACCGATGAATGTTTCCTCTCTCCCTCTTCCTTCCTCTCTCTAAAATCAACTTTTTTAAAAAGTAAAATAAAAAAGAATACACACACACACACTTCCATTTTACCTCCTTCCATGCCTTCCCTCATTTTTATCTTTGATGCTTCCCAGAAACTTCTGAGTTGCTTGATGAGAGCAGAATAGTTATGGGGCCAAAATGACTAATAGATTTTTCTTTAAGTGTAACCCATGCTTAATATTAAAAAACAAAATAAATTATAAACAATGCAGAATAATATGAAATAAAAGCAAAAAATTAACCAGTATCACTACTTCAAGTGATAACCAGTGTTAACAGTCCTTCCAGAATTTTAGGTACAGTATATGTAAAAAATTTTAAAAGCTATAATGATATTATAGGCCTCTTTCAGTACAATATCTGTTTATATTATCATTTTGAGGCTACTAAAACATGTATCATATCTATTCTGTATTATTAAGACAACTTATCGATGAACATTTTATGTTTCTGGTTTATCCTGTTGTAAATATCATTGCAGTAAACAGCATAATATACAAAGTGGGGCAAAAGTAGGTTTACAGTTGTGAGTATGTAAAGCAGAATTTATTCTTGTATTATTACTTATTATTTTCCATACAAACAACTGTAAACCTACGTTTGCCCCACCCTCTACATTGCTCAGATTCTCATTTCCCTTAAAAGTAGAATTTCTGAAAAAGGACGTATTAAGTTTCACATTTTGATGGGTATTAACAAATTGCCCTTCAGAAGCATTGCACCAACTTATATCCTCACCAGTAATGCAGGGCAGTGATTGGCAGTGTCTGTTCCCTATAGGCTTTTATCCTTTTCAATATTTGTGAATCCGAGAGGTATAAAATGTTCTTATTTTCACTCTAATTGTTTTGGTTACTAGTAAATCTGAACACCTTTCCATATGTTTATTAGCCATTTATCTATCTTCTTTGTGACGTATCTGTCCATATCCTTTGCTATTTTCTGTTGGGGTGTTTACAAAGAACGCTTATAAACCAGAAAAACAAAAAACAAAAAACACAACAACATGGTAAACATCTCAGTCCTCTTCTATGCTGTGCTTATTTTTATCCAGTTGTTCATCTTTAAAGATACTCATGATCTAGAAGTTACAAGTTGAGAGTTATCTTTTCTTTTATGATTTCAGGTCTTGAAGTAATTCTCAGAAAGGTCTTCTCTACCTCCAAATTATAGAAATGTTCCTCAATTAAATCTTCTTTTTTACTTCTCATTATTTAAATTTAAAAAAATAGAGAAAAGTGGAGAGAGTAGCTAAATGAACAGCCAAATGCTTGTGATCTAAATTCAAGTTATTGACATTGCCATGTTCATCAATTTTTTTCTTTTTTTGCTTAAGTATTTTAAAGTAAGTCACACACATCATTCCATTCACTCCAAATACTTCAGTATACATCTCTAAAGAATTAAGTTACTTTCCTAGTCAGTGGAATCTTTGTATTCCTCAAACTTGTTCCATTGTTATAAGCTCAACGGTCATACATTATACAAATCATAGTGTGTTTGTCATAAATCTTCTGAACATTTGAATATGAATGCACACACCTGCATTTTTGAAGTTACACTTTTCTATTTCCTGGAAGACAGTAGTTGCTAAGTACTTACTATGTGCAAGGCCCCATGGTAGGCATTTTATGTGATTTTCTAACTTTATCCTCCCAACAACCCAGGGAGGATGCCACGGTCATCCCATTTTGTAGTCTTGTTTTTCTTTCTAGGAAATAAAATCTTTCCATCACTAAGCTTTCCAAATGACCTTGGACTTTAGGATAAACTCACATTAGTTACTTTCCCATCATGCACCATGACAAAACCAAGATAGTGATTTATATTTAATGAGAAGGTTATTTTATTTGGCTTTTATCTGCCATAATTTGTATTTTCCTACTCTTTGAAGCTTTTATAGTTTTCTGTTTCTAACATCAAGAGGAAATTTCACAGCTGCAACACCTCGGATGTGATAATAAACTCAGTATCCTCATATCTTCAGGGGTCTCTCTTATCTTCTTTAGTGTTCCTTATTTGCTTGCCAAGAAATACCAACACTAATTCTCAGAACTTACAATGCATAGCATATTACACAAAGGATCATAGTTTTGCTTTCTATATTCCTGTTTCCTAAGTTACTTAGAATAGCAGCAGCAGCAACAACCATAATAACAATAACACACACACATACACATAGAGATAGAGATAAACAGAGATAGACAGATGAGAGAGAGAGAGATATTCATTCCCGAGGATATTTTTTTCTATTGATATTTAGAGAGAGTGGAAGGGAGGGGAAGAGACACAGAGAGAAACATCAATGTGAGAGAGAGAGACATCGATTGGTTGCCTCCCACACCCACCCTGACCAGGGCCAGGAATCATGCATGCATGATGTGCCCTTTACTGGAATCAAACTGGGACCCTTCAGTCCGCTGGCTGCCACTCTATTCACTGAGTCAAACCGTCTGGGGCGTTATTTGTGGCATTTTGATTAAACTACTTTCTTATTTTCCCCTTAATTTTGTTCTGCGGTTGATCAACATTTTAGACTTGTTCAGTTGTATTTCTTTGAATTTTTTTACATTGACTTAACCATTCTCCATGAATTAGTTAATTAATTGGTCCATGTGACTAAGCAGTGAAATGTCTTTAACATTCTGTAGAGTATGGTAATTCAGATGTTGTAGAGTTATAATAATTCAAGTGCTGATTGATTATAGAGTATTTGTTTTCTTACATAGAATAATAATCCTATATAATAAAAGGGTAATATGCAAATTGACCCTAACAGCAGAACAACTGGGAATGACTGGTCACTATGACACACACTGACGCTCAATGCAGGAGCTGCCCCCTGGTGGTCAGTGCGCTCCCAAGGGGAAGCTCTGCTCAGCCACAAGTCAGGCTGACGGCTGCCAGTACAGCGGTGGTGGTGGGAGCCTCTCCCGCCTCCTCTGCAGCACTAAGGATGTCTGACTGCAGCTTAGGCCTGGTCCCCGCTGGCAAGTAGACATCCCCCGAGGGCTCCCGGGCTGCCAGAGGGATGTCTGACTTCCAGCTTAGGCCCAATCCCCTGGGGAGTGGGCCTAAGCCAGCAGGTGGTCATCCCCTGAGGGGTCCCAGACTGTGAGAGGGCACAGGCCGGGCTGAGGGAAACCCCCCACCTGAGTGCACAAATTTTTGTGCACCGGGCCTCTAGTTATTTTATAATAATATAAAGCCCAAATGTAGAGCATGGATTTTGGTGTTAGTGCCTAATCCAAGCTGTCAATTATTAAGAAGGTTAGTAAGCCTCTCTAAACCTATTTTCTCTTCTATATAATTGGGCATGACCACTGCCCCTGCCTTGTAGATTGTACTGAAGAAAGTTAAGCACTTGATAGATAACTAACTCTTAAAAGCATGTGGTAGTCATTGTTTGGCAAAAATTTTTTCAGCATACATTTTCTTTTCTTTTTTTGAGAGAGAGAGGAAGGGAGAGAAATAGAGAGATAGAAACATTGATGAGAGAGGAACAAGGATCATCATCAATCAGCTGCCTCCTGCACGTCATCAAGCCTGCAACTTGGGCATGTGCCCTGACTGGGAATCAAACCTGTGACCTCTTGGTTCCTAGGTTGACACTCAACCACTGAGCCACACAGGCTGGGCAGCATATGTTTTCTTAAAAGTAGAAGAAAGATAAATATTTCTGCATTCCCTCTTTGTTTTCAGTCAGCCAGATTTTAGATAAAATGTGGATTGTAGAGCAGTCTAGCATTCTGTGAAACACAGCCTTTGAAATTGACTATAAATAAGAGGTTGTTTATATCAAAATTCCAGTATCATCCTTTTAGTTAACATGTAAGTCTCATTTTATTTGGTTTTTCTACACCCAGGAAAACTCTGAATCTGATCTTGATAGTCTTTTAGTTTTAAAATAAATTGCTCATCTTTGTAGGAAGATGGGTAGTGGCCACTTTTATTAAAATGCACTGTCCCCCTTTTTTTTAGACACAGCAACCTGGGGATTCCTGGAGTGTGGGCTTTTCATATCGGCAGCGTCTCCCCACTGGACAATGTCAGGCCAGCAACAGTGGGAGGATCCCTTTCCCAAGCCCGCTCCTCAGCTGCCCGGGAGCATTCCTTCAGCCATGCTGCAGCCCTGGAAAGAAACTACAGTGAGGACGATTTGGATTATTATGGTGAGAATGAGGAGGAAACTGAATACCCACCGAGCGAACCGGAGGAGGTGTTGAAAGGCCATGGCAATATCAATGCTTCCTTCCACGCAAAGGCTGACTCAAGGCCTGTAGGGGGTGGGGTCTCTCCTCCAGGTTCCTACCTGGACTCCCCTTTGCATCCAACACCCAGAAATAGGCCATTCCATCCTGAAACAGAATCTGCCTCCTTGGACTCTCATACCAAAGAAGGGAGGCGTGTGAAGGAGATGGCCGCCCTAGATAGAAGAGGCCAGGTGGAGGCTTCGGAACAGCCATGGACCAGAGGCCCGGCTCCGTCGGAGAGAGAAGAAAATGTACTGGATCCTTCCCAGGGAGCCCCACCTCCCGACCTTGAAAACAGAAGCATCCAGCCAGACGTAGATGGAGGGGCGCTGCCTTCCGAAAGGGGTGCTGGCCCGGCCGACGGTGAAGGAGAGGTGGTCCTGCCCAGTTACGCCAGGCCAGGTCACACAGCGCCACGGGATCACGAGAGGCACGCGGAAGGGGCGGAAGATAACACTTCCAACACTGGGGGTAAGTGGTTAGAAAACCGGGTGCTAAGATCCCATTTTAAAAATGCTGGTTTTGCAGGGACTCATGCTTTTTCTCTCAGGCGAGTACGTGGAAAGTTCAGCAGAAAGAAGATTGGAACTGATTTTTAAACGCATGTTTCAGGAGATAGAGTATCTTTCCTTTGCCAAATACATCTTGGCAGGCAAATTCTGTTTGGAATCCCTTGACGATTAATCATGTTTTGAAAAAATGGGCCTCATGGAGCGAGAGGGGAAGACTGGCTTGCTCGTGCCAGCA